TTGTAACGGCAGCGGCGGCAGCAATTAATAATACGTAATTTATGGTGCGCATTCAGCTCGCATTTGACTTTTTGGGCCAAAACACTCAAACTTATTGACAGTCTTTCATGATGGCCTATGCGTGGGTTCAAGAAATGTTATAAATAAAAGGGTTACGGACTGTGAGCTACGGACTGCGGACCCGGGTTAGGGTTAAAGTTAGGGTTGGGGTAAGGGCTGCGGTTTTTGGCCGCCTTTTATTGCTGCACTTCAACTTGCAACTCGTTTGCGCCTTCCTATTGAAGCGTTACAATTTACAACCTCATGCGTCGCCACTCATGCGGAACCAGCTATTTGTACAGCTTTGGGTCAGCTCTTTCAATTACCCAAAATTAGCTCTATCGCTGATGGGAATCGTCTAGCCAGCGCTCCGCACCATATCTCTCTGGGCTAATCCGCAACACTCGCACTCGTTAGTTTTGGCATTCGTGCCAAATTCTATTAGTAAACTGTAACTGTTAGTCGAGTGCTTAACGCTTGGCTTAGCCGAGGGTTAGCGGCGCAGCGCTTAATCCAAATTGACTTGTTCCCAAAACTGGGCGAACGCCGGGCTCATCCCTCCCATTCGAAGATTACAAACTATGGCTTTATTAAATTAAATGTTACACCTACCGCAGCCGGCAAGGCAATGCATCAATTCGAAGAGGGTTAGCAATATACATATATATATATATATATATAAAGTATATGAGTTCTAATACTTTACCAGTTCAGGAATCATAAAAAATATAAGAATATTTTATAAGCAATATATTTTTGCATTTAGTTTTGGGCCATCTGATTAACCAGGAGCCCTTTTTTAGAGACCATCTAGGTGGTGTGTTGAGGAATCTGTATCTGTATCTGTATCTGTATCTGTATCTGTATCTGTATCTGTATCTGTATCTGTATCTGTATCTGTATCTGTATCTGTATCTGTATCTGTATCTGTATCTGTATCTGTATCTGTATCTGTATCTGTATCTGTATCTGTATCTGTATCTGTATCTGTATCTGTATCTGTATCTGTATCTGTATCTGTATCTGTATCTGTATCTGTATCTGTATCTGTATCTGTATCTGTATCTGGATCTGTATCTGTATCTGTATCTGTATCTGTATCTGTATCTGTATCTGTATCTGTATCTGTATCTGTATCTGTATCTGTATCTGTATCTGTATCTGTATCTGTATCTGTATCTGTATCTGTATCTGTATCTGTATCTGTATCTGTATCTGTATCTGTATCTGTATCTGTATCTGTATCTGTATCTGTATCTGTATCTGTATCTGTATCTGTATCTGTATCTGTATCTGTATCTGTATCTGTATCTGTATCTGTATCTGTATCTGTATCTGTATCTGTATCTGTATCTGTATCTGTATCTGTATCTGTATCTGTATCTGTATCTGTATCTGTATCTGTATCTGTATCTGTATCTGTATCTGTATCTGTATCTGTATCTGTATCTGTATCTGTATCTGTATCTGTATCTGTATCTGTATCTGTATCTGTATCTGTATCTGTATCTGTATCTGTATCTGTATCTGTATCTGTATCTGTATCTGTATCTGTATCTGTATCTGTATCTGTATCTGTATCTGTATCTGTATCTGTATCTGTATCTGTATCTGTATCTGTATCTGTATCTGTATCTGTATCTGTATCTGTATCTGTATCTGTATCTGTATCTGTATCTGTATCTGTATCTGTATCTGTATCTGTATCTGTATCTGTATCTGTATCTGTATCTGTATCTGTATCTGTATCTGTATCTGTATCTGTATCTGTATCTGTATCTGTATCTGTATCTGTATCTGTATCTGTATCTGTATCTGTATCTGTATCTGTATCTGTATCTGTATCTGTATCTGTATCTGTATCTGTATCTGTATCTGTATCTGTATCTGTATCTGTATCTGTATCTGTATCTGTATCTGTATCTGTATCTGTATCTGTACAGATACAAAACGACATAACTTCGCTTGGAGATATGACGTTCCAGAACGACATAACTTCGCTTGGAGATATGACGTTCCAGAACGACATAACTTCGCTTGGAGATATGACGTTCCAAAACGACATAACTCCGCTTGGAGATATGACGTTCCAAAACGACATAGCTCCGCTTGGAGATATGACGTTCCAAAACGACATAGCTCCGCTTGGAGATATGACGTTCCAAAACGACATAGCTCCGCTTGGAGATTTTGCAATTGCATACCATTTTTGGCTCGTAAGGATCAGTTCTATCGATTGACATCAAAAAAAGGAAATCCAAAATTTTGACCTAAATCGACAAAATGGCAACGGGTTACATCACGCTTTTTTTCAAAATCGAAACTTTTTCGATGATTATACCCGGAAACCATCAAAAATGGGTATAAGGGTATATTGTATTTGTGCAAAATCCAAATGTATGTAACAGGCAAAAGGAAGCTTAGATGTAGGTCCTCCTAGTGCCTGCGCAGATCGAGTTTGCTTCCGATAATCGATAACTTACTCCGTTTCCAAGCAATCGATAAGAATCGATATCGATATCATGTTTTTTTTGTCAATTTTGGTAAATAATAAGAGCTAGAGTCACCAAACTTGACATATAGCTTCTAAAATAGAATATATATATGCATTTGATGTTGAAAGAAGAGGGTTCAGGGTATCCCCTAGTCGGGAGCTCTCGACTTGAGCCTCTTACTTGTTGTATCTGTATCTGTGTCTGCCTATATATATATCTGTATATGTATCTGTATTCATATCTCTGTCAGTATCTGTATTTATGTCTGCATCCGTGTTTGCCTTTGTTGGTGGACCGCTACAAAGTTAAGTTGGGGCCACTTAATTATGACACTGGATATTTACACGGCTTTATTTGCGAATATATAACATGTAGACCAATTTATTTGCAGTGATACAAAAGTATCCGCTGGGGCATTGAAAACAATTATGCTGCTCATTTTTGTAAATATTCAGCAATTCGTATTATTTGCCAACGTTTTTGTTCAGGTATAATATTTCTGTATGATAAATTTAATATCCCTTGTCCTGTTTGTTTGATAAATGCCTCGCATTTGACAGTGCCTGGCGGGCGGGAACAGATAGCCGAATATTCACTTTAATAAATAATAATAGTGATAAAAATGAAACACGTTTATCTTCTTGCATGTATGTTGTTGTTGTTGTTGTTTTTTTGTTTTTATTTTTTATTTGATTTGTTTTTGTTTTTGTTTTTTTTAGCAATAATTTTTATTTAATTTCCTTTGTTTTGTTGTTATTTAATTAATTTTAATATAATTGCAGTGACATGAGGTGTTGTTGCTTCATCGTTAAATTTATATTTATTTATATATATAATATATATATTTAAATATATTTATATATATATACTATATATATATATATATATATATATGTGAACATATATATATTTATAATGCTTGTTCTTGTTTTTATTTTGTTTGTCGTGTTTTTGTTCGCATTTAAATTTAATTAACTATAATTAATATTGCTTTTGCGTATAATTCATTCAAAAAACAGCTAAACAAACACAAAAAAAAAATCAATTATATATAAGGGTATACTCATACATACATATGTATATATGTATGTATATATACATGTATACATACATCGGTATATAAGGAAAACAAACTGCGCTACAACTTTGCTGTTTTCTTTATTTTTCATTATTTATTTTTTGCTTTTTATTTCATTTCTTGTAAAATTTTCGAATATTTTGCTCATATGTCTGTGTGTGTGGGTGTGTGCATATTGTTTTTAGGTTGTTGTGGGGTGGGTGGGGGTCAGGGGTTAGAGGGTCGTGTTTGAAACATAAAGCAGTTGCTGTTTGCTGCGTCTTTGTCGCTCTAAACTTATGCGAGGAACATGCGTTGAATGCCTTTTAATAATTCACTTAATTTACAAAAAAAAAAAAAAGTTGGTGTATATAAATATATGTATATATATATATATATATATATATATATACATATATATATATATATATATATATGTATACATGTATACATGCTATATAGGATATATATATGATTAAAATAAAACACACACAATAATACTAAGTAGCTATTCCGAGTCTGTTCTAAAGAATTATAAATATACAAAAAAAAGTGTCTTGTTCTTTGGTTTTAGAACTTAAAAATTAGCAAAAAAAAAAGGTTAAAAAAAATATATGTTAAAAAAAATAGTTAAATACATTAGAACTTGTTTTATAGGATGCAATATCGTGAAACTGTGCTATATGCTGCATTTTAACTGGCTGTGTGTGTGTGTGTGTGTGTGTGTGTGTGAGAGTGTGTGTGCGTGTATGTGTGTGTGTCGCTGCTACTAAGTGTCTACAAGAAGAAGAGGAGAAGCTCGTGAACGCTGTGGAACCAGAACAGAGGGCTGCCCTACGGGGGGCGGGTTTGCCAGAATAATGCCCGCCTGCCCGGCCCAACCCCATCTAAAACCCACTCGACATGCACTGGAAGGTGGGCGGGGAGGGGGTTGGGGGCTCTCGGGCTGCTGGTGTGCTCCAAATTAATATAAATTATGCATTTGTATGGATGTTACGGTACACGGTACTTAAGAACTACATAAATTAGTTTAAATATAGTTAATGCTTTCGCTCTTTACGCAATTTTTTTTTGTGTTTTTCATTTATTTTATTTTTTTATTTTGATTTTTTTTTTTTGGGCTTTTTTTCTTTTCTTATTTTAATCAATTTACGATTACTAAAAAAAAAAATTTCATCCTATGACTAAGAAAAAAAATGTTCGCTCTTTGCATGCTTATTTTGTTATGCCTTTTCTTTTTTTTGTTATTTTTTTTTTTTTTTTAGTTTTCTTTTTGTTTTTTTTTTACGCGTTTTTCTTGTGTTCTTTATGCCATTCGCATTTGCTGCTTTTTGTCAAAGGTTACATTGTATTTAGATTTACATGTATATATGTGTGTGTGTGTGTGTGTGTGTGTATATATATAGGCGCCATCTTTGATGTTGCTAATTTGTTTCAATCGTACAATATCAATATATATATATATGGATATCAGCAGATGTATATATATATACATGTGCATATAAATTTGTCTGCCGCTGGGCGCGATTTACTTGCTGCTCCCTCTCGCTCGCTCTCTTTTAATATCATCTATGAAGAAATATGTCTGCGTGTGTGTGTGTGTGTGTGTTACATACATATATATATATAAAGTTGTTATGCTTAAGTGCTAGTAATTGTGGGTGGTGGGGGGAGGGAATAATGCAAAAAGCTTGAACTAATTGCTAGAGCACTGGGCAACGTTTAAGGAAACGAAAACAACTATCTCTCTCTCTCTCTCTCGCCTCGCTTTCTTCTACTATGTTTCTCGCTCTCTCTCTCTCTCTTTAAACTAGGTTTTCAAAGCTGGCGGGTCCTGCGCATCACAAAAAATTTACAGGCTAGGCGTCTCTTATATCGATTACACACAAAAAAAAAACATATATATTTATATATATATATCGGATTACAACTATACGCAAAGCGACCCGCAACGTCTCTAGGCTCTATGGGTATTAGGTGCGTGTGTGTGTGAGTGTGTGTCTGGGTGTGTGTGTGTGTGTACTACATGCTATATGCTACAAATATGCCTAATGTAGATCGCTGGCGCTATTTACACTGAAGCGCAGTGTTGGTTAACTGCCGCCGCTGGCCAGGGCCGGAGCGCGGGCCATTGCTGGGCCCCAGCTGCTGCTGTTGGGCGCGAGCTAAAGCTGCTGCAGCTGCACCGTTTGCGGTCAGACATCGACATCCAGATCGATGACAGAGCTGCGATCGTGCTCGTCATCGTCATCGTCATCGGCATCGGGGCCGCCCTCCTCGCAGTCGGAGCGGCCGTCCTGTAATTGTCACTGATCCGTTGCGGCCGCCGCATGATGCCCGTGTCCGTGCGTCTGTCCGTGCGTATGATGTGTGTGCGGATGTGTGTGATGCGCCTGGGTGTGATGCAGTTGCGCCGTTTCCTCCGATAGCAATGAGGCAGCCGCTGCCGCTGCTGCTGCTGCTGCCGCCGCTGCCGCAGCGCTGCCATTGTGCTGCACCTCGAGGCCGTTGACCATCTTCTCCATGCTCTTGAGCTCCGACGGCGAGTGCTGCGCCTGCCGCTTCAGCAGCGATGGCGGCGTTGTCGGCGACATTGATATGGGCCGCGTTGGCGGCGAGTGCGAAGAGGCGCGCGGTCGCGGACTGGAGCTCAGGCTGCGCGGTCCGTTGTCCAGGCCCAGGCCGCCGCTGCCAGCGGGCAGCAGATTGGGCGGCGCTGCTGCATCGGCGCTGCCATTGCCGCCGCTGCGATTTGCATTCGAGCCGGGCGTCACCGCATCAAAGGCCGAGCCCAGGCTGCCCGGCAAGCTGTACGGCGAGAAGCGATGGCTCTTCAGGCCCTGCAGCGGCGAGACGGGCGTATGTCCGGCGGCCGCATAGGCGTGCCCGAACAGCGCCGGATGCTGGGCAGCCAGCGCGAGCTGCGCATTGAACAGCAGGCCCGGATTTAGGCCGGCGGGATTCATGGCAGCGGCTGCTGCCGGATTGTGCAGCAGACCCAGATGCGGCGGCGGATAGAGTCCGTGCGGATAGAGGTAAGGCAACAGATGCGGCGACGGGTGTATTGGTGGTCCCACAGATATATTGGGCGACGGATAGCTGCCGGCCGCATTAAGACCGGCCGCTGCCGCCGCCGCCGCAGCAGCTGCACCGCCGCCAACGCCCTCTTTGGGACTGCCCGTTGAGGTGGGACGAAAGGCACCGCCGGTGCTGCCGCCGACGCTCTCCGAACAGCTCGAATCGCTGCCATCGCGCTCCATATCGTCCGCCTGCAGACGGCGACGCAGTGCGTCCTCTGCATTGGCCGCTGCCGCATGCTCACCGGCGCCAGCGCCAGCCAAATGATTGAACCAGGCAGCCAGTGCTGCTAATCATACGAGTAGCGAGTAACGAGTTGCGGTTGACGAGCAGAGTAACGAGTAGCAAGTGGCGAATGACGAGTAACGAATGACGAGTGACGAGTAAACAATTGCATGGAATGAGAACAAATAGAAAAAAAGAAATTTCACCAGTTAGACACGTTGCTTAAATCCATTGGACACAGCTCAGTGAACAGCTGCTGCTGTTTGATAACTTACCCGAATGCTGGTGCGCGTGCATCTGCTGCAGCGAGTGGCTCAATGGCAACAGGGGGCTCTGCGGCGGCCCCACCACATCCAATAGCTTATCGTCATCGTCCTGCTGATTATCGAGCAGCGCCGCGGCGTGCGCCGGATGCAAATGTGGCGGCCGACCTGCATGCCCCAAATGGAGCGGTGCTCGCGAGCTGCTCACATGCGTGGGATTCAGTTTGTCCGAGTCGGACCCTCGATTGGACATCAGCGCCTGCCTGTAACAACAGTTGTACGAGAAAACAAAACAAATTAGAACATCCAATTGTCTAAATGCACATTAGCCATGGCAAAGCCATGTTATATGAGTTATTAACTGATAGAAAAAGCAAGCGTGGGCATTCTTGAAGATCTCTGATCTCTATTTAATCTCAGCATGCCGAAACGCTGAGTAGTTTCAGCATATTTCGATTGTACCTTCTCATAAGCCCAAATGTGAATCCTTTTAAGCCAAATTTGCATTGTTGCCAGCTTTAAAAGGTCATCTGGCTCGAGTCCCAGACTTTAACGTAGGTTTTATTTATTTTGTATAAAATATCACAGACTAACTATAAAATGATCAACTACTATCTTTAATACCATGTGCTTTAGTCTACCATCTTGGGAGTCCCGCAACATGCTACAGATGCTGAAAAAATGGTTCAAAATCGAAAAGTACAAAGTACAAATCTAAAGGCAAAATCAAATATAAAACAAGAGACAATTCCAAAAAGTACGAAACTCTAAAGAAAATAACTGTTGGTACGAATGTAAATTAAATTAGCCGAAAATCGGCTAAACTGAAATGCAATCAAATGCGAACATTTTGCAACACTGGCACTTTTGGGGCGTGCCGCCCCTTTGGCATCGTTCTTATTTTATTTTTGTGTCCATTAGGCTTTTTGTTGGCTAGTTGAGGCACTGGCATAATATTTGTGCTAGCTGGGAATATCTGTTAAATGATAAAACGACGCTGCCGGCATATGAATGCCTGGCATGGTGAGGGCAAGGGGCTGCTGTTCCGGGTCGCAGGGTGGCGAGCTAGGGAAGGAGTGTGGGGGGGGGGGGGGATATATATGTATAAACGGAACCTTAATTGAAATGTAACAATTGCAGGCGGAAACAGGCGGCAGTCTGTGTCTCGGCCGACAATGAAATTGAAAAATAATTCAAAACACGTTAGTGTAATTTAGTGTCTGCACTGGCCGTAATATACCGTAAGCTCCCCTCACCCCTCCCCCACTCTATCTAAAGCCGCCACAACTCTCCCGCGCAACCCTGCCAAACTAGGTCCGTGCATTTGGTACGTTTGCTTTTTTGTTGTTGTTCACACATCAAAGCAACGCTGCCAGCGCCAGGCCGTGCTCGCAAATTGGGCAATTTACTAGCACACACACACACACGCATACAGGCACACACGGGCACACACGGCACACGGACATGTGTGTATCATTATCACAGCAACCACAAAGACCGGAACCACCCATAGACAGGAGTTCGCAATTTCGCCACAGGCGTCTTCTTTTACACTTAACTGTTTTTCCACGTACTTCGCATCACCTGCGTGCGACTGTGTGTGTGTGTGTGTGAGTGTGTGTGTGTTGTGTATATACCTAATTTAATAGCAAATCAATTTGTGTTAATCTAGGCAGCTTTACGGGCCCACCCACTTAACAACAAAGGGCAACAGCTAACAACAAGGACGCGGGGTAAGCTAGAAACATAAACGGCGCCTAAAATGGGGCGCCGAAAATACTGCCTACAATTTCTACTAAATATAAGTAACAAATAAGCCGCTGAATAGAAGAGCTAACAATATTTTGTTGCTGGCAAATATGGGATTATGATGCCATGAAAAAGACAAGGAAAATAAACCTCTTATGTTATAATAGTTTGTGTCAAAATTTCCCTAACATTTTCACAAGCATTTCCACTAAATGTACCTTAAATTTCCATTAATTATTATCTTAAGTCTTAACTTGTTATTGATCATATTGATACCCCGTTAATAGTCCAGAGACAAGGTGCAAATAGCTTGGCATGCTCAAAAATTCCCATTTTGAGCGCCCCGTGGCAGAGGGTGCGCCCAATTGAGGCATCTGATGCTAAACCGCTCCTGTGGCTCACATGTAAGTCAACCATAAATTTCAGTACTCGCACAAAAGGCAACTAAGACGTTTATCTTGGCTTTTGTGCTGAAAACCTTTCACCTCCCCCTCCCTCCCCCACACCCGTGCCGGGGCGTGGGCGGTAGTATGAGACGCTGAAAGCTGTTGAAATTGCGCTGCTCTGTAATTTTTGAATTATATCTAAATGTGCGGCTAAAACCAGTCCGCACACACGCCCACTCGAGCCACGCCCAGCACAACATTGGCAATTTAACAGAGAGGCATGCATGGGGGGTGGGGGGCAGATGAGGCGAATAAAAAAGTGCGCCAATTGTCAACTAACGCCTGCGGCTATTTGGCTGCAGCAGCATGTGGCACGGTCAGGAGGGGGGGGGGGGGGGGGGGGGGGGGGGGGTGCGGGCAGGGGGTGTGGCACAATACTGGCTGGCAAATAAATATGAAAAGGAATTTCAATTGCTGGCAACTTCTCGTTTGCTGCTGCTGCTGCTGTTAAAACGGTTTTCACTTTAGATTTCCGTTGCGCCCGCGGCCAATGCAAAGGCAATTGCAAAGAGTTGCGAGCGGGGGGAATGTGACCGGCGAGATGAATATCATTCCGCCGGAAGTTGCGCAGTTGTCTGAGCGGCATGAAAGAGAGAGCGAGGGGGGTGGGGGAGGCAATTGACTGTGGCATAGTTGCCACCAATTAGCGGCGCTTGCTGTGCAGCGACACCCAAGTCGCAGGACGAGCGAGCGCTGAAAATATCGTCACGGCATTGTTATTGTTGTTGTTGTTGTTGTTGTTGCTGCTGCTGCTGTTGTTGCTGCTGCTGCTGTTGTTGCTGCTGCTGCTAATGAAGCGCAGCTCAATCGCTGGCTGGCTGCAAAAAAAAAGGGTTGACCACAAAAAGTTGCTGCCGCGTTGAGCTGCTTAAAATGTGTTTTGTTTTTTCGTTGTTGTTGTTGTTGTTGTTGTTGATGCCAATTGACAAAAGGCTCGAGTTTGCCTAAGTCGCACTAATTGCCCAGATTTAATGGGCCCGGCCCGTCCCAGCCCGTCCCGGCCCACTCCAGGCATTGGGCATTCGGGCTAATTGAAAGTCTATGCAAAAAGTTAGCTAAGCGCTTTAGTGGCTTGCAGCAACCCTCCAACTCCTACACACGACGCCTTAGCACCAAAAATAATCATCATAAAAGGAAAAAAAAAACAAAACATAAAAAGCAAATATATGAATGGCTACTTTGAGCAGGCCGCAGATTAAAAAAGCTTTGCAAATAGGCGAGCAGGATTGTGAAGATATCTTTAAAATGACTTAATTTTCCCATGAAGCATATAGCTTATATAGCATATATAACATATATAACATAATATATAGCATATATAGCATATATAGCATATATAGCATAAATAGCATATATAGCATATAGCATTCTCCGAGAGAATAAAGAGAGCATGGAAGAGATAGATTTGAGGAAAGTTTCGTATTGGCAACCGAGCTAGACGTTTGCATAGAAACAGGCGGACGGATTGGTATATATGTATATACTTGACTGGATCGCAGATGTCTGCTAGACACATCATGCCCGTTATAGATAGTGCACTCTGCAAGGGTATTTAGCCATAGTCTACTTTTAAGCGCAGGCACTTCATTAATAATTGCCCCAAAACCGTAACCGAAGCCCAAGCCAAAAACCTGACACATGGCTGTCACAGCTATGACCAGTCAAATTTCAGTGGGGCAGCCGGGTCTGTTGGTTGACTGACAAAAGCAGGCAATGCATGAATTTTGCTGACAGTCGGAGGCAAATAGAAAACTCAAGCAGATAGAAATGACCAAGTACCCTGTAATCAGCGAAGTGAATGTTAATAATATTTGTCAAAGCTGCGCCAAAAAAACTTGGATTCATCTTTGAATTTGTTTTAATCGTGCTATCAAGTTTTCGTAAAAACTATAATAAACTTTGACTGTGACCAATCTTCGAGAATCTGAACATAAAACAGGCTGAAGACACAGGTGATTTTAATGTTTGCAATATGCCATAAGCGCCGTGGGTTTAGCAATCGATAACAATCGATACGTGCAATCGAAAGTGTAAAATCAACTTAATATCTGCATGCGAATGCAGAGCACATTCACTTTGTATATATCTGCTATTTAGACAAGGGATTTTATTGCATATCGATATTTATCGATTTGTGTAAGAACGAATGGAAAATCCAAAATTGTCTTGATTTGTGTATGCTCAACTTGTTTAATAGGCAAACGATTAAAATTTGTTGCTTCTGACTCGTATTATAGCCGAGATCTACACAAAATAGGAGAAGTGGCAATCGATATTTATCGGTTTTGAGAAAATGGAAGCAGTTAGCGGTCAGACATGGCTTAAGCGACGCAGTCTAGCGTCTCGATCGAGAACGTAAATACTTAATGTGGACGAGTCAGTCGATTTGTGTGCGTACATATATTGATTGGCAAACGTTTATACCCGTTTTGGGCATATTAATGGGTGCTAAGCATAAAAGGAAACTAGACAAGAGCTAAACAGACAGCACGACAAGGGGGAGGGCGGTTGCAGTTGGGGGTTGGGCCTAGGCAGGGCAGGGCTGGGGTCTGCGGGAGGCAGCTAATGTCAATCAAGGCGCTTGTAATCAGTTTTACAACAACTCAACGGAAAGGGCCGCAAGTAAATTGTTTGTGTCAATGCAGCAAACAGAAGTCAGAAGACTGATGAAGTCGTTTCCAGTGCCTGTCCAAATACGCCGCAGCTCATCATCGTCTTGTCATTGTCAGTTACACACAAACACACACACACAAAGTGAAAATTGATTTGTAACGTTTAACAAAACGTTGAGCCAGCTATTAAATGTCATTCATCATTATGCTAAGTCACAGATTTCAAACAGGACTGGCCGACTCCAACTCCGCCTCCATCTCCGTTTCGGTCTCGGTCTCGGTCTCAGTCTCTGCTGCTGTGGCCGGAAACCGGAACCACTCCAGGCTCTAGTCAAATGCCCCCATTGCTGTTGTGTGTTGACTTTTTGGGTTATCCTTCAAAAACAATTGCGAAAAAGTCAGAAAGCATTTGATCAGCGCCCACGCTGAATTGCACTGCGGGCGTGCTCGTTCGGCCAACAGGAAATTGAAATCAATCCATCAATATGGATTACAAGCGCACAGCTGGTGGGTGGCTTTATGTATATATATATATATACAATCGGGGAGAGTGTTGGGGGGCCAGACCAAAGGTGCCAGTCATCATCATCATCATCACCATTGCCATCGACATCATGATGATAAACAGCAGCCGCAGCCACAGCCGCAGCCGGAGCTCATCATTATGTTGACTTTATGGCCACTCGGACTGGAATTCCGCATCCCATGCCACCCCGGCCAGTCCCTGACGTTTGGCGCTTTGTATGAGTTGCAATTTGACAAGCAGCAGGCTAATTAGTTCCGCACAGATTTGACAAAAATTAATGTCTGCTAATCAAGGCAGAGATACAGCTACAGATACAGATACAAGCGAGTCAAATGAGCACACAGAGTCAAGCTAGACAAACGAGCTTTGGCCTGACGGCAAATACCAAAGACGAGCCAATTCCCAATGACCAACTGCCTCCCACCCAAGGCTCAAAGTGCTGATTAGTTTGCTTTTTGAGGCGGTCAGCATGAAGTACTTTGAGCGAGTGAGAGTTTGAGCTTTGTGAATTGAGGGTTTCGATTTCGTGTTCAATTCAAATTCGGAGCTGTCCAGACAAACAGACACGCAGACACGCTGACAGATGGACAGACAGGCAGAGTTAAGAGCTTATTGTATTGTCCTCTAATGCCGCATTCAGCCAAACTTATGAGCGCCTTTGCAAGCTAATTGAATCAAAGGGGATTGCAAAGTTGAATTTAAGCAAAACGTCGAATGAGCCAAGCCGAAGGCCAAAAGAGTTGATTTAATAGACCGCTTGCTTAAAATGAAAATCAATTCCAGAGAACTCGCGCTTGTTGGTCCGACGCTCAAACATTTGATGTCACTTTCGGCGTTATTGATGCTTTTCATGCAAAACTTTGTTCGTCCAAAAAGGAAGCTTCTTAGTCGAGCGTCGATTAGCGAACTCTTTTATATATATATGCTGATATAGATATGTAGATATATAGATATGTGCTCAAAGAAATTGCTTAACTCTAGTGATACTCACTTCTTTTCGCGTTTGCCAGCACCCGTATCACGAAAGCCCTTCGCAAAGGGATTGTTGTCAATTTTCAGCTGAGTAATCTGTAAAACGAAAATAACGATATTTATTTTGATGGCACTCATACAGGGCTGATCGGCGTCTATATTGAGTATAGCTTACCTTCTCGTTTTGATATGCAGTCACCGCAATAAACTCCGTCTCCTTGAACACGTACGTGCGAAACGTGGAATATGGTAGCTTCAAGATATCGTTGGCTCGCACCAAATGAAAGCGCGGCTGATACTTATGCATTGAGTTCAGTATTGTCTACAGCAGCAGGAGAAAGAGACGGGCATAGAGTGTGGAAGAGAGAAGGAGAGAGCATAAGATTAGTTCGCTTAGCATGCGAAAATGCAATGAGACCACAAAAAAAAAAACAAAAAACAAACAAACAAAACGGCATAAAGTATTCCGTTTGGCGGCAGTAACTTGACAAAACTTGACAGGCCCAAACAGAGGCAAACACACACACATACACACACACACACACGCACAGTTACACACACTCACAGGTAAGCTGCACAAAGACATTGCAAATGGCCGTAGACTGTGGCAAGTCGGCGACATTCCTGTAGGCGACCACCCACCAAAGTGCACGAGCCGTCCAGACCAGACCTGTGGAGCGACAGAGAGCGAGCGCAAGTTGGAGGCAAAGGAGAGCGAAAGGGGGGAAACGAAGGTTTTGTCATAAAATATGAATTTGTCTGCAGCGAGCGCAGTCGAACCGCGAGACCCCCCAAGCAAAGACATTCGCGACTGTTGCAAGAAGGAACACCTTTTTAATTACCATAACTCGTCGAATCGACTTCGATTAAACGACAACAGAGCCCAAACCGAAACGAACCCAAGCCCAAGCACACGGTGCGGGTGCTGCGGTGCAGGACAGTGCTCCGTCTAGGCCGTAAAGCTCTAGACCTGACCGGGCATAGTCTGTGTGCCTTCAGCTTGTTTTCGGTTCTTGTTGCTGTTGCTGCGTGTGGACCTCACAAGCTGCTGCTGCTGCCGCCGCTGCTACGTCTGGCGACGGACTTCGCCATTTTGTTCATGTAATTTTAAAAAACAAGACTCTGACTTTGGGCTGTTGCTCTAGCCCTGGCTTTGGCTGCCTCTGCTGCTGCTGTTGTTGATGGCGACAACAACAACACCACAGACAACAACCGGCTGGCTAGTTGCCCCTCTTGTGACTGTATCTTGTATCTGCACTTGATTTGCACGCCCTCTCTAAAAGAGACCACCAATGGCGTTTGTGGTGTCATGCACAGAGGTGTGACTAATAAGATCGTTGCAGTTGTTGCTCCTGTTGTTGTCAGCAATATAATTGTGTAAATAGTTTGCTGAATGCAGCTCAAGAAAGCAGCAGCAACTAGAGATGAGCACTTTGGCGAGTGAAGCTAAAGACCGAAGATAAGTGAAAAGCATAAAAAAGTGAATCAACGGTTTACGCAGGGATGAGTACGTCCACTCGAGCTATAGCGAGTGTCACAACAGCGAGTAGTCTAGTCTTATAAGAACGTGTACAGGAGGAGTAATAAGTGTGTCAGCGAAGACACAACGTTAAGAATAATAACAAGTAAAGCAACAGAGAGTAGCACAGAATCAATTGACATCTGAATGCCTACTAAAATAATAAGAGTAAAGCCATAACGAAGTAGCAACAGCGAGTGCAGCTACTGTTACTAAAGCAATAACGAGTCCAACTACATCGAGTATAGAAATTACATGTAGAGAAACAAAAATATCAACCAATAGAAAGAGGAGTAGAGTAGAGTAGAGTAGCAAAGAAGCAACGAGCTAAGCAACAACGAGAACATCAACGAGTAGAGCGGCAACGAGTTAATAGTCAAGCAGTGTCAAGCAGCCATATAGAATTTAAATTAAATTGATTCTCACGCTACACTTAACTGGCACTCGTCAATTGACTGGACTCGTTGACGTGTCCACTTAATTAATGTGAATGCTGCAACGACTAGTCGAATACGCAGCCATTAATTCATGCAGTGTGCAATCGCTTAAAGGCAGTCACTGTGGCTTTTTATTGCCTGGCCAAAAGCCGAAGGCTGGCAAAAAAAAAAAGAAAAAAAAACTGATTAATTGCCGTCGTCGCCATTTTGGACTGGGCACTCGCTGCAGTTGGCTGTGCGGCGACTCCACACGGCCTAACACTCGCAATCGCTAACGCAAACGCATTCACTGCCAGCGAATTGCTTTTGACATGGCCGATTTGGGCCAGCTTTAAAAGGCAACAGTTTATTGGCAAGCGGCAAACGGCTTGCCGTGCGCTCGGCTCGCTCATCAATCAAATCGCCGAGACGCTGAGCTGAGCTCTGCTGAGCTGAGGTGAGCTGAATGGGTCGCCGAATCGCTGCCTAGTCCATAAATCGTTGGCGCAAAGCGCGTTGTTCGTCGTCGTCTACTTAAAACGTCGTTTGCTAATTTGCTTTAAATTTATTGACACATAAATTCATTTAGGCTGCCGCAGCAGCAACAACAACAACAACAACAGCAGCAGCAGCAACAATTACTCGTTGCGAGTTGTGCGTTTTGCATGTGTCTAGAATTTATTGATAAAACAATTTGCATTATTACATTCAATTATATTCAATTTTTTTTTTGCATCTCTTTCTCCTGCTGCCACGCAACGAACTTCGCATTTTTTCATGCAACTCAACGGTTGCTGGGGTGCGTTCAGCGGCGGGGAACAAAATATAAAAAAAAAAAATAAATAAAATGAATTGCAAAAGGCGCAAAATTGTCATTTAAAATGTCATTCAACGGCGACTCGACGAGCTGCCGAGTTTGAATTGCGATTTAAATGAAAATAACCGTGAAGATAGCCATAAAAAATAAAATAATATGTGCATGCACCACAGCAGCAATGTGGTTGTTCTTGTTGCTGCTGTTGTTGCTACTGCTGCTGCATTTCAGTTTTCCAAATGGGCATAAACAAGTCTAATTAGACATGAAGTGCGATTACACGGACGCCACGCAGTCGTCGTTGTCGTCACACAACAAGCAACAAATCAGCAGCAGCAGCAGCAGCAACAGTTGCTGTTGTTGTAGTTGTTGTTGCTGCTGCTGCTTCTCAGTTGTGATTGTAGTTGTTGTTGCCTTGCCAAGCCAGACAAAAGACAGGCGTTCACTTGCTGGCAGCTCTAGTTGCTGCTGCTGTTGTTGCTGTTGCTGTTGTGATTTTATGCGCTGATTGAATTGATTGGCAGGCAGCTCTAATGCAATTATGCGTCAAATATTGTCTAGATTTTTCGTATATGATTGCCCGCGTGCAACTAATGCAAAATTCAGCAATTGCTGCTGTTGCATTGCGGCACGTTTCTAGGCTCCGGCCCGGCCCGGCCCGGCCACCTTGTGCCCAGTTGGCCGACTCGAATCCAATCCATGGGCCACTTAATCACTCTATATATCGCCCGGGTGACAAACTGATTGAGCCGCCGGCAACTAAAACCAAAAAAGGCAACAGCAATTTTGGTGTTGCTGTGTGTTGCTGCTGTTGTTGTGGCTGTGGCTGCTGCTGTGGCTGCTGCTGTTGCTGCGGGGCTTTACGTGCTGTTGCCGTTGGGGCCGCATCTTTCACGCTAGTCATGTGGCCCGATACTCAATTGCGCACCTCCTGCGCCGCCCTGCTGCCAGTGACACGTTTGTTTTGGGCTTTTGCGTGTTGATTGCTGTTGCTGTTGCAGTTGCTGTTGATCGCTGTTGTAGTTGCTGCTGCTGTTGTTGTGATTGCTGTCGCTGCTGCTGTTGCACACTCATTGTTGGCATATTATCACATAATTTAACTGATGATGGCACTGCAGTTGCTGTTGCTGTTGTTGTTGCTATGTGATTGCTGTCGTCAGCTTGTTGTTGCTGCTGTCGCTTGTTATTGTTGTTGTTGTTGTCGGTTGGCGTGCTGCTTAATTGAATGATCACTCACACTTTGATTTGGCGTGTTTTGTTCACATGCAACCAGCAGCGGCAATAACACGGACGATCGCTAACGGTTATCGACAGTTGCATCGACTGAACGCATCGCGACTTCCACAGCGATATCTCCACTTGATCGTGAGTGAATGCCAGCAGCAACAACAGCAACAGCAAACAGCAGCAGTAGCAACTGCCTCAAATTACAGCTAGTTGCTATGTTCTGCAATTGGTATGCGCTTTTGAGTAGCTGCGAAAATCTAAAGTGCCGTGAAGGCATGTAAATCGCTTTGACCACTAATATAGTTTACTTATCGATATGTTTATATATATATATATATATCGATTAGCGCGGAGCGTGAACAGGCTTCATACTAATTGCTTGACTGGTTATTGCGGAGAGTTGTTTAAGATTCTGCTTAAGTTAGTATGTGCATTTGCTGCCGCAATAATTGTGCATTAGCTAAGCTGCGATCGATCATATCAAAGTCGATATTTATCGATATATGTACCTGCTTTTTAACTTGAATCTGCCTGTGAATACGCAAGCATTTGTACTGACATGACTGCTTCAGCGACTTGACGATATACCAAGTTTATCGAATATTAATTATTAGAAATTATCAGAAACCTAAATTTAGCAACTCAACTGGCTTGAATCGCATCGACTCACCCGAGCGGCGATCTTAGAGAAAAGCAACTGAATCGATTGATCGAATATTATCGATTGCCCGACTGAGTTAATGTTCAAAGATAATAACGACTATTTTTATAGGTATACAATATTGTTACAGGCTGTCAATCCAATCTATTCAATCAAAACGACCTTTGGTCAAGCCTAAGACTTCATCCTGGGCCTCGAGCCCGGCTACGCAGTGCTCAAGACTGGGTCTTAGCAAGCACTGCGATTTTGATACATAACTTTGAGAATTTGACTGGCTTTTATCGAGCCCACTTGCCTAAGCCAAGTTCTGAGGCACCGCTGAACGTGGCTAATCTTTGGCTTGCTCTCACACTCCCCAGTTGCCACATGGCCAGTTGGCTGGCCGCTCAATTAGGCAACAGGCAGCTACCAAAACCATTTTCGGCTACCTGTTGACCAATTATGGACATGGAAGGCGCCGCCAACGACAATGATGACAATGATGATCGCGCTGATCACGATGATCACGATGATCACGATGATGATGATGACAATGTCGCCCGTTGGCGTAGATGGGATCTCGGGACTTTATGAAGCTGTCGCCGGGATTGTCTTAAGCTGCTTTCCGAAAGCTAAATCGATATGCATATTGAGCGATCTATACCATAAATATCAACACGAAACGCGGCTCGAAACATGTCTTAAT